CGTTAAAATGTTCTATTATTGTTTTATATAAAATATGATTAATTGAATCTCTCAAAATGTTCTCTTTAAAAAAGAAAGAATTTTACTAAAAAATGAATTGAAATAACTTTTAGTTAAAATTTGTGGTCAAAACCGAACAGCTTGCTTTATCTAATTCGCAGCTCTGTTAAGGCTTCATAAAGGGGGCGGGGTCTAATTTATACGGGAAAAGTTTATTGTGACATCACACACATATAGCAATTCCTCACAAGAACAGAAAATGAAATAATTTGCGAATCTAAACTGCATAAGAGTAATGATCTACATCAAAACTTACCACTGCATTCATTTTTGTCGTTAGTTAAATCCCACACAGCAAGATATAAACAAGTCACTGATTGCAATGCACTTCTCGACATGATGTCATAATGGTAAAGTTTGACGCGTTTTATGTGCAGTGAGAGGCGGATCAAGTAATTTTTTCACAGTGAAAATGTATTTTATTATTAAACAGAATATTATTTGCAAATCTTAGGTAGACCATTAATACAAATCTGAAACGTTTGTCCAGTGCCATTATTTAAAAAATATCGAGAGAAAGTATTGAATTAATTCTACCGTGTTTTTGTCTACAGGGTATACATGTTTCACGCCGAGGTGCCTCATTTAATCGCCTTTTCGCAAGGGCATACACTAACAGATCTTGACCATTTTTTGAATACACATAACGGACATATTCCTTAACTTGAAAAGTGCTGCTGCTTTCCTGAAATCGATAGCATAACTTAATAAATACATAAAATACTTGGTAAAGGTCACACATATTTCGACATTAGCCAGATAACTTGAAATTTAAACTAATAAAATGCGAATTCTATTTAAAGCAGCAGCACTTTCCATAAACTACAAGTTATGTAGAAGCAATCTATTTCTTTAATTTTTAATTTTAACTAGGGTATGCCCTTGCGATATTGAAATTTGTTTGTGACCTACATACAGTACACATTACATGCATTTATCACGTGACTATCAAATAACGTGACCAAACCAAATTTAGTACAGAGCGGGGTATACAATTTTATTTCAAAGAATGTTAAAGTCATAAGATAATATAGTACCTTTACAAAAATAAACTCAGTTTAAAAAGGTATGTATTTATGCATGTTTATACTCTGTTGATTTCTTCGAAGTACGCCTTAACAGTGCTGCGTTACTATTTATCTTAAACTCAATCGTATAATAATCCTTACAAACAAAGATACATAGCGGGTTCCAGTAAATGTTTAACCAAGCCTCTATCTTTACTTCTCACTAAGATATTAACAGTGGTGAAGGAGAAACTTCAAGAGTACTGTGCAACAATATATTCGAGAAGTGGTGTAAATCAGATGTGGATACTTAAAAATTCCAAGGAACTTTATACACAACCATTCCCCACGATAAATTAAAGTCCAGGCTTTTTGATATCATTGACAACTGCTTTTTCAATAAATATACTTACCTTGTCACTGGTCATTTGCAAAATTATTTTGTTAAAAAACATTCTGATTGTACACACAAGTACTCTGAAGTTGACATTAAAAAGATGCTTGAGTTTCTGATTGACAATATCTATGTGGTTTTTGGAGACCAGGTCTTCCAACAATCTATTGGAATACCTATGGGTACCAATTGCGCCCCGTTATTAGCAGACCTTTTTTTGTATTCATATGAAGCAGAATTTGTCCAAAATCTTGTACGTGAAAAGAAGAAAACACTTGCTGTTCAACTGTTCAACTCGACATTTAGATATATCGACGACGACGTATTGTCAATCAACAATGGCTATTTTCATTCTTATGTCGATACGATATATCCTGGTGAACTTGAGATAAAAGATACCACAGAGTCTGACACATCTGTTTCATATTTGGATATTTTACTTGAAAAAGACGTTAATAGTAATCTAACAACCAAGCTTTATGATAAACGTGATGACTTTAACTTTTCAATCGTCAACTTCCCTTACTTATGCAGCAATATACCTTCATCACCTGCTTACGGGGTATATATCTCTCAGTTGATTCGATACGCAAGAGCATGCTCTACGTATGTACAATTTCTAAAGCGAGGTAAATTATTGACAAATAAGTTGATGAAACAAGAATATCAGCTGTCTCGTTTAAAGTCATCATTTCGTAAGTTCTTTGGTCGATACAATGACCTTGTCAGCAAATACAATTTATCATTGAGTCAAATGCTAACTGACGTTTTTCATACTAATTGTTAGGCCATTATTTACACACTGAATTGTCGACGGATTTTTCCGTTATTTCCCGATCATGACAAGGAGCACACGGCGGGTGTGACCGGTCGGCAGGGGATGCTCACTCCTCCATGGCACCTGATCCCACCTCTGATGTTTGGAGGTCCGTGTTTGCTCTGCTCCTTTTTTGTATTGTATAATGGACTTTTGAGCTTGAATACTGTTCGTTATCTCCATATATTTCATCCATTCTTTTTGCTACATTTCAGAACATTGCTAAATTTTTAAACATTCAGTGCATTCAATATACCTCAAATACAATCAATACCAAAATATACGTCAAAATAGATTTCTAACTTACAGTTTCAAGCGCATAACACGTATATCTTTAAATTGCAACGAATGCATGGAATCGAACACGAAGGACCGACAGCGGGTGACCTAAACTAAAAGATACTAGGAAAGTGAGTGGTTTACACCAAGAACAATTCCCATCTAAGAGTGGGACAGGGATTGAGCCCAGAAAAGCTAGACAGAAATGCTTAAATTCGAAATTCACCAAGAAGAAAAGGTAATCTTAGTTCATATCTTTAGTGAATTTTACTTTTTAAAAAAGGATGCTTTATATGGGAAAAAATATATTTCAGAATTATTCTACATGTGTGATTATTTATTTACGGATTAATTCTTGGATGGGAACAAATTATTACCTCTCAACCAATTAATTTACCCTTAGCAATAGCTAGAGGGAAATAAAGAGGCAGTAAGGATGAAAAAGTAATGAATGGCAAGTGAAAACCTTTAACCTATTTTAAACGTATACATGTACGTGCTGCTTTTATGGAGTGTATGTTGTTTAACGTCCCATTCGTGAATTTTTCACTCATATAGAAATGACGTCATGCAGGTGGAGGGTTTCAAATTTATTTCCGGCACTCAAGGTCATTATGCAATGATGGTTCATTATTTTGTCAAGGCCTTCCGTGACACGGGGCCTTGGTTTTTAAGACTTCTACAGATATACAGACGAAGAAGACAGTCAAATTGGTTGCAGGTATAGTCCAGTGGTGTCAGTGTTCAATCTATAATGCGGAGGAAGAAGATAATCCTTACGTTTTGGGTTTGAATACCACTGTAGGACGAGGAAATCTCAGTTTGCGGAGACTGCAGTACCAAATATCCCTTGTCAGAGTAAGAACTACATGTAAAATGTGGCACGTCAAATATCCCTCACTGCTAAATCGCTATACGTTGTAGCTGGTGTCAAATATGAGTAAAATATTCCCGAAGGCCCTTTAAGTAAACTGACAAACAAACAGAAATAAGGTTAAAGTATTCCCGGGTACGTCTTCATTAATGGATTATCATATACCTACACGCACGCTAAGTGAAAATAGGATGATGACGACCTTAATATCAGTTCAATCTCTTATCTTCCTTTATGAGATTCGTAATAGTAGGTACCTGAATTGTTTTATCAACAATAAGAGGATAATGAATTTTTCTATTTCCGCTTAAATATTTTGATGACGAAAGCTGTCGTAATCATTGCTTTCTTCGCTCCTTTGTGGCAAGATGGGGCAAACATGGCAAATATTTTACTCAATATTTATTATTTTTCTTGATAACTAATACAATGTTAAAAAAAAAATCAAAACAAAACATACCACATGTAAATGTAAAGGGCCGTGTTATACATATGACCATCAAACTTTTAACAATTGTTTATATACATGCATGTTTATAACTTGGAAAGCTTCACACTCGTTCACAGTACTTCTTTACATATAAATAATCAGCTAGTGTACTTACCAAGTTAATTTATAGATTTATCATAAAATTCATTAATCATAACATGCAATTATGAACTTTATTTCCATACATCGTCAATTTCTTATTATAATTGAACGAGGCAACAATTTTTTCATAATTTTGTAAGTTCTAAATTCTGATAAGCACACAGACCCCCAGAAGCGTGTATTAAATCATATGAATTTTTATTGTCGGTAACCTCCAGGTCCTGATAATTGTGAGTGTCGTCATCTGTACCATTGGTCTTTGGAGGTGGTGACTAAACACCCTTCATGTCTTTTAGGTGCAAACTTGGGCTTTCTTTCTTTCATAGTGATGCATTGTTGTGGTCTTTGAAAACATTAAATACATACAATGTATCCCCAGTAAACATGTTTAAAAATAGTCTCAGTTTTAATATTTTTCTTTACTTTAAGGGTAATAAAAACAAATAATGTTTGGTTAATGTTTTTATATGAAATGTGTTCAATTACTTTTTCGCATTGTTTTCTTTTAATTCAAAGGATTTTAAAATTGAATACAATTTGTACATGTATCTAGAATTTATGGTCAATTAGTGTAAAAAGCTTGATTTTTCTAACTAATATGCAGATTTACTTTAAACACAATCATATGTGCGTTTTTTTTTCCCGCTAACTTTCAAACCATTCAGTTCATACAATATACCTCAAATAAAAGAAAGCGAGGGCAGCCATTAAACCAACAGAATATACTGCAACCACTGTGTTAAGTCCTATTGTGGAAGGTCTCGTTGAACTATCCTCTGGAAAATAAACAAGCAATGAAAATGTATTCAAGAACTTTTTTAACAAAAGTTTGCTTTGAACTTAAACATCCCCATCAGGAGATGAAACAATTGTATTTAAATATACATGTAACTATAAAATGTTGACATGCTACTCTATATTTTTATTTTATTTTGTTACAGACTAAATGGGAAAAGTACTTACGAATAAAGTCACAAGCTACTCCAACATAATTATCTTTACACCCTACAGAGCAACTTCCGTCATATCTACTGCAGGTCTCATCATTGGCACATTGACCGCTACATCTGTACTGACAGTTTATACCATAAATACCAGGGGGACATTCTAAAATGTTAAGAATTAAAAACAACTTAGTATTTGGGTCACTTTTCAGCACTCATCATATTGAATAAGGTATAAAAATAAAATTGTGAAGAAGACTTCGAGTGGAAAAGACCTTGTTGATTAACTGCTATTCTATATTTGCTGCTCTTTTTTCTTCCTAAAGTCTTATTTAAAGAGATGCCTGGAAGAGAAGGAAATAACTTAACATAGCAAGCGGATCTCAGTGTAAATTATGTTTAAAATATAACATACTGGTGGTGCAGTTTGGTGAGCCAGTAAATCCAGGTACACATTTACAGGAACCATCGGTATTTGGACAAGTGCCAATATAGTTACGAGAACATTTGCCAGAACAATTCAAGCAATAGGAACCAACGGGGCAAACTATAGAAAGAGTTTGTGATTTTACACAAAAGTAACAGTATAAATTTCCAATGCATGAAATACTGAGATAACGAACAGTAAACAAACTGAAATGTGTAAGGTAAGACACACTTTAACTGTATGAAGCTGTATTTCAACAATGTAATGTTTTAAATGAGTTAATGCGCCTGGAATCGTATCGTTTTACATTTGTTTTGTACTTAATTGGTCATAAAGAAAGTATAAAAATCTTTAAGATATTAATTTTGATCGGAATAATTAATGAAATTAAACAAAATAATTATTTAACTCATTCCAGAATATCATTTCCAAGATCGCGTTATGTATATCTGGTACTTTCTGCGGTTTTACATTTTTGTGGATACAATGTAAGACAAATCCGTAAAAATTACAAATGCAAAATCTTCTAAATGTTAATCTACAGAATCCCACGCATTTCTTATGCAATTAAAGTGATCTGCCCTTAAATAAAGTAAATAGAAAATTTAGTATTAATCATACAGTTTTTGAAGAATTCAACCATCATTATGAATTGATTTGGCCAAGATACATGTACCTCATTAGAGCACTTTTTGTGCATGTATTTTATTCCCAAATGATAAAATGATGAGTAGGTAAATGAAGTCTTACTACTGATTTAACCTGTAAAACTAGAGGGTTTTGCACGGGCATAAACATATTAAATTTTGAATGTACATATATATGCTTAAGTGATGATTATTAACTTTACGTAAAAAAATATCATAATCGTTTTATTTTCTAATAGGGGGAAAAATGAAATAAAAGAATTCTTTTCCAAGGTGGATATTGTTTACCAAACACAATGTCTGCATAAATAGAAAAAGGAATTTGAAATCCATGAACAATAATTACATGAAACATATTTTATGATGTTGCTACAATGAAGTATAATTTGACAAATTGTTTTATTAAACATTTCAAGAAACCATTTTTATTTGTAATTTAAAGTTAAAATATTTTGAATTCTAGATATGCGGTATTAAAATTAACTCTGCTCCAGAATAAAATTCCCTAGATAGCCAAATGTCGTTCGTTTTAAAAATGAAATGAGATATATATGCGATATACAATCCCGAAAACCGACCTGCATATGACTGAAAATACGTAATTCATATTGCTAAGTGTATTCGCTAATCTTTTTTGAATTAGTCAACTCTAGAAATACCTTTACTGCAAAGGGATCCAAAATATCCTGGAGCACAACCTTTCCTACAAATTCCATTCACATGGCTACATGTTTCATTGTAAAGACAATGCCAGCTGCAAATATTCACACATCCATTTCCAAATCTTCCAAAGGTACAAGCTATGGATAGAATTCATTATTTAAGCAACTCAGACTTTCTTTGTGTATCGACCATAGAACTTGCAAAATGATGACTTCAAACGAGACTGTTGATATTCTTGTTTCATCCACTTATTAGCTTGTCTCGTTTTAGAAATATTTAATCGTTTACCGATTGAAAAGTTGAAGTCATCACGTTTATCATAAAGTTTTGTTGTTAGTTACAATTTTTGTCTTTTTCTAGTAAAATATCCAAATATGAAACAGATGTGTCAGACTCTGTGGTACCTTTTATATCAAGTTCACTTGGACATATCCAGCATTACACCAGTATCGCAGTGCCCAGTTTCTCTGTTACAAGGAACATTATATTTTCAGTGCCCACTACAGTTAAAGGCACAATTCGGACCATAATTTTCGCTATCACATGCTGTAATTAGATTTTAAAAAGTTTTAAGGTCTCGAAAGATTTGTACTTTCTACATAACTCTTTTCTAAATTTTTCTCATTCAGTATAACAAAGATGCTGCTGTATTGTACCTCTTTATCGGAGTAAATTCTTTAAAACCTGATTTCTGACAACTCATTTAAAAAAAGTTTACCTGGGATTTTTTAAGGATTCAGTTCTAACTTACGCCGTTCACAATATGTTCCTGTCCACCCTGCTGCACATTTATCAGGACATTCACCGGTCATATGATTACAAGGTAACCCGTTTAAGCAATATCCCGAACACTGATTGATACATCCTTAGCCGTATGCTCCAGGTGAACATTCTATTTAAAAAAAAAACTACCAGTAAAATAAGTCAAAGTTGTAAAGCTATAATTGCAAAATTTCGGAACGATTGTCATACATAAAGTCACTAATGACGTCATCAGTAATGTCATAGTTCCAAGTGTTCCCAAAATGGAAGTACAACATGCAACAAAAATAAATATTAAGTTGTGAAAGTTTATTATAAACACAGATAGCCTAAAATTGTACAAGTGTACCGAAGAAAAAGTATCAAGACACAAATTCCTATATAAATGTCAAATATTAAGGATAATTAAGAAGTTTGAAATAAAAGGTAAATGGTGAAAGAATTTTACATTCTGGCCCTCCTAGAAAATCAGGAGGCGAGGAGAACCTAAGGTTGCGTTCATCATTGAAGAATCACCAAGAGAGTCAGTTATATCTGTGTTTAGGGAGAGAGATTGTGACAAAATTTCAGTAATGAAGCATCTAAGGCCATCTGATATTATTTTGAGTTGCTTGGAGATTAGAAAGTGGACTGAAAGGCAGAGCCAGGATGTGGTTGACAGCATATGGTTCTAAGACGAGGCTCATTTTTTTGATAACAGTCTGTATATGCATCTGTAAATAAACTGAACATACATGTATGCTTTTGGGGTTCTGAAAATATAAAATAAGAAATCCACCAGATATTTATAAAAAAAAAATGCCTAGAAGTGGTCAAAAAATTTTGATCACGGGTATCTAAAATTATTCACGAAAAAGGTAAACATCTTGAACATATTATTTGAGGTAATCGTTGCCACAGAAACTAAAATGGAAAATGTTGGATACTTTTGAAATAAAATAATAATTTTGGATATATATATATATATTTTGAGTAAAATGATATATCAAATATACATGCAGCTTGTGTTTAATTTTCCTTTCCTGCCTTGATATGTGTGATATTGTGAAAAACCCTGTACAATGTATTCAGATTAAAGTTTCAATGATCTAGACTCATACTGTGGCACGGCCCAATATGTTTTCCTTTGAAGTCTGCTGTACTACAACTAAAAAAAAAAAACTCAACTCAGAACGCTTTTCGATTGGCGATTCTTATGCAAATGAAGAAAACTGTGCAATTACTTCAGTACAGAACGGTCTGATTTAGCCTTGATGTAAAACTGAATCCTGGTCTAAGACAACAAATGCTGTTCGTCGATAGTATCAACATAGTTTTTACACTACATTTTGAAAATCAAGACAAAAGAGAATTCTTTTAGGTTAAAAAATGAAACCAAATTCACATGTAAATTATTGAGGCCATCGGAAATGCCTTTTCACATGTCATTTATTGTTAGAATACTCGTATCCCATTGTATGAGAGATTAAGGGTGGGATGCGGCTAGAGCAAACGCAAGCCTGATACCCCTCCCTGTATCTATCATACATTAAGAAATTTTAGTGTAAGTATTACTTCTGAATCAAGGAACTGTCCCTTCGAAAATGCATAATATAGTATTACCTTGATTACAGAAATCCCCGTTCCATCCAGGTTGACACGCAAAAAATGTTCCATTGACAATGTCGCATATTTTCTCCTGACAATTTTCGGGGTACTGCAAGTCGCAATCAATACCATAAAATCTGGTTTCAGCACAACCTTTTAAAGAAATAACAGAATAATATTTCTTTGAATTCTTTGCTTGTGGAGGATGGGTTTTATAGTGCTTACATCTTCAGCAAATTCTATACTTACCTAAGACAATCACTTCGCATATCTCTGTATACGTGAACATTTCATATCCATCTGGGTAATCAACTCCTGATAGTCTTTCATTGTAAACGAACAGATAAGGAGCATGACCTACGCAGATGATATTGAAATCCAGTGAAGGTAGATCAGGCCAATCTTTATAACAAAGCAGTCGACGCCCATCTTCAATATTTGAAGAATTGGATAAATAGAGGGAAAATCCAGCAAAGCGACCTCTTTGTCTTAATTCTAAATAAGGGAATGAAACAAATATGTTGAAGGATTGAGGTAGAATTTCACACAATTTGATTTAATACTCTCACTTGAGATACGATCAGGTGTCAAGAAATGATAATGTTTAATTTTCGTTGATGTTATTTTAAAATAAGGTGTTTGTATTGTCAACTGAAATGTGTTTCCAAGGAATAATTGTTATTTTCAATATAAATAACATTAAAGAATTGAAATAAAAGAAGCATGTATACAAAAAAATTAATTGAATGACACTTTGAATGATAACATATTTTATCATTTATGGAGGGCATACATAGTACAAAATGTACGCAGATATTACATATAAATTAAATGTAAATTGAATCATTCTCTATCGCTTAACCGAGAAGACCATTCTAAATAGGTCTTACATGTATGTATTTAGTCAAGGTATTGTAAGGTGGTAGGTTTTTTGGGTATGAAGATTATAAAAAAGTATATAAGTATGAAAACCGGTTCTCCCTAAACATCGGCCGAAATAATAAGTCCCAGCAAATTTCTTAACATTTCTTTATTCATAAATTCTCATAAAACCGGCAGGCCCTGAAGACCGGACACCGGCCACTTTTCTAAGAACAAAAGTTAAGAAACATAGGTCATTTCCCCTCATCATACCGGCCACATTTCGGTTGCAAGAAATATAACCGTCCTTGGCCAGAGGGGTAATAATGACCGGCCAGAGAACAGGTACTTGTGGACAGGACCCCCCCCCCCCCGATATACAACCCCGGGGCTTGTTGGACATTATTTTTTTCACAAATTATATTTATTACACTTATTCATCATCTGTACCATAGGAAAAAATCGTGAAACCCCCAAAATAATCGTTCCACACTACCCCACTATACATCATAAGAGAGAAAGGTTTGCGACCCCGATTTGTTTACGTTGTATCCCCACAAGTCTTTCTGGGTTTAAAAACATGTATTTATTTTATTTTGACCTGAAATGTCGGTTCACACTGTCTCTACATATATTTCTGTCTTAGTTCACGCTATCGGATTGACTCTGCATCTCGTAAGAATCCCACAATTTTTCATTAAACAGCATTGCAGTCAGTGCGTTGAAATATCCTTAGGTAAACGCAATGGAAGTACACCAAGAATGTATCACTTAATACGATTATGTCCGAGAGAGTTTTGGCCTGAAGTAATAATCTTTCTCGGGTGTTATCATAATAGGTAATATATTCTTTATGCACTTCCGTTGCGTTTACCTAAGGATTTTTCAACGCACTGACTGCAATTTCATGATTTAAAGAACAGAAGGTTTGTTCAGAAATGTTTTAATTATTCACTCATCAATGAAGCACAGACAAATTTATTAATGACGTAATTTTAAGCGATAGGCACATCGCGGCTAGGATAAGGCTGTCCGATAAATATCACAGTGTACCGGCCATTATTACTTCTCTGAACTACCAAGATATGACGTCATAATAAAAATGACGTCAAGTCACTGCAAACTTGAGCAGTCATGACGGGGAAAGTGTCATAACTTTTGCATTCCTTCACATGGCATGTAGATTTTATTTCGACGTTTATGTTTAAATCAGGTGTGTGAATTGTCGACTAAAGCTTCTATGTGCTGTTATGATGGTGAATATTTGCAATACAATATCTTTATTATTCTCTCTTTCTGATAATGTACGTATTCAAACAATGACAAAAAATGAATATGAAACGCTCCCCCTTACTCGTCCGAAGACAGAGTTAGAATTTATAAATCTTGCATATATTAGACTGGCACAAGTGATTGATAAAGAGAAACTGAAGATGTTCGGAGTGAATCTACTAGAGAAGTGTGTCTTTTAACTGAATTTTGCTGGGGGATCATATGTAAATTATACTGTTTTTTATAAATTGCGATGAAGAGTGGAAAATGTCCCCTTGTATGTGGGTAAGTTGAATTTCTCGTGAAATATTTTCTTAAGAAGTAAAACTCATACTTGCCCCCAGCACTTTATATATTCCCAAGAATACGTTTAATTGACTTAGTAACAAACAGTTCTCAATAATTTTGTTTTTCACTTGTGCCGATGGGATTTTTGTGCAACAATTAGGAAAATTTATAAGTGTCTGTCACGTGATCAACACAGTCATGTGACATCACAGATTTGCTTTTCCACAATACCTTATTAAACTCTCTTCACAAATTTACTGCACATGTATACATAGATTACAAATTGAAATCAAAATCTAGCTCAAAATATAATAGCGTATTTCTAATGTATATTAAGCCTTCAGGCAGCCTTAACATAGCCG